GTGTCCATCGTTACTATTTTGGTTTTATCAGTACTAGGAACACAACATGAATGTTCTGTTTATATAATAGTTCAGTATCTGTCGTGGACATAGCTATACAAGCCGTGGAACATGAAATATACGTTAAGTTGTAAAAAAAAATCTGTTTTTAATTCCAGTTTCTTTCCTATGGACAGTATGGAAAACCTTATCCATGAACACACATATGCCCGTTCTCCCATACGAGCCTATGAAGAACAAGAATACGAATCATGTCAAGGATTCGATTCGTCGAAAAACGAAACAGGTAATAACCATTTCCTCAAATGATGTGTGGATATATTTTAGCGTATTGCATTTTTGATTTTCCATGGCTGAAGTCGGTGCTACATTTACTGATATGTACCAATGTTTTGATTATTATTTGACAGTAATTTTTACTTCACTACTAAAAGCTGACTAATATTTGTTTATGTTTGTGTCTTGGTGAATAATGTGCGATAATGCTTGTTACCCAGTGACAAATAAGTACTCTTGCCAACCGTTTGGTGATGCCTACTCGATGTTATATTTGTCAATGACTTTTACTTTCCAATGTTTGCTACAAAGTGAGTTTTATGTTCCAATGTTTGCTACTCAATGACTTTTGCTTTCTAATGTTTGGTACACAGTAATTTTTATGTTCTAATGTTTTCTACTCAATAACTTTTACTTTCTAATGTTTGGTACACAGTAATTTTTATGTTCTAAAGTTTGCTACTCAATGACGTTTGTTATAGTATTTGCTGCCAATGACTTTTACTTTCCAATGTTCGCTACAAAGTGACTTTTACTCTCTAATGTTAGCTACGCAATGATTTGTATGTTTTATTGTTTACTAATCGATTACCATTACTACTGATAACTGTGTATGTTCTAATGTTTGGTATCTAATGACTTTTATGTGATTATGTTTGCTACACGGTAACCAGTGATAGCTTGGATGTATCATGCTGAACAAGAAAACGTGATACTGACGAGCTTATATACTGTACACACTGACTCCAACCTAAATTAAGACTGGAATATTACTTGACATTGATATTTGATGACTTAATTAACAGTGTTAATTGTCGTTCATTACAGGTGGTCATTCCATGTCACAGGGCACAATAAGAGTACCAGTACCATCACGGTTAGCATTGTCTCCTATATCGGGACTTTCGATGTTTCAGCCGCTAGTTTCTTCATCCGGGTACCCTGTGATGACGTCAACTACAAGCAGTACAGCGCTGACAACACCTATACCACATCCATCAATTGGGCCATTACGTTATAATCGGTTGATTCCGTCGCATGCATACCAGTCGCTACAGTTGCAACGATATCATCGCTACTTCTCACAGGGGCCTTACGCTTCGCTACAAGCACTCAGGCCGTCTTCGGTTATGACACCCTTTGTTTAAATTAAAATGAACTTATTGATATGTTGATGTCTTGCCGGACATGGAAGTCTGGCTGTTTTGTTGTCGGACAATTATGACGTGTACATACGGGCCTTTAGAATGAATTAAATGAACGAACGAACGCGTTGTTTACGTATTTGTACTACCTGCCCATGCTTTGTGTAATGAGGGTTGATGTTCACGCACCCGTTATTTCTTGGTCGAATAGATTATTGGATTTATTACCTTTATTTTATTGTGAAAATACACGTTTGGACATATTTTTGACGTCGATTCGTACAAAATGGTCTGCTTTAGGGGTAACGAGTGCGGGGTATCAGTGAACTGTCATATAGTTAATCCACTGCGTGTATTGTTAATGGCGTCTCAAATGCGTTGTATGGTAAATCCTTACACGGCCACTTTGTATAATTGAAATACTTAACATTGAACACTTTTGCTAATTATTCAGTTTGTATTTTTAACACCCATGATGAGATTGTCTCACGTGAACATAGTGTGTGACTAGTACGTCAGCTTGTTGTGAATTGTCATCTCCCACTGAAGTAATAATCACCTTTCTCCACTGAACAATGTTTAATACTAGTACTTGATTTCTGATTGGACAACATCTTATTACGTCATTAAACTGTAGAAGGACCTGAATTTCCACAATGATTTTTTTAAACAATATATTTTACATACCGGGTTGTATATGTAGCATGGGGACAATATCGACCATGACGTTGCATAATGACTGTCGCTTGTTTTATTATTTTATTTACTGGTAACATTTGTTAAAATATAAGCCCGATCCAGTTATAGTTGCAGTGAGAGTCATTTGCGATAAATGTTATTCAACCCAGTTATGCATATTTGCTAAAGTAATTGTTCTTGTCTAGGGTTTTAAAAATGATTATCCTTGAGGTATTTAATAACTGTTTGATTTACAGCATACCGCATCGTCTTCATATAAATGATTGCAAACTGGGCAATTTTAACGACTACTCTTAAAAACAGCTGACAACTCCATGTCTCGCGACACAATATTAATTAACAATCACCAATGTAATTAATTTATCAATTACTTTACTTCCATGGAAACCCTCGTTGTCGATGTATTCCATCAGTTTATAAGCCCGACACGACGTCAACTCATAACTTGACCTTGCTTCGTCGTATTACAATGATATTTTTATGTATTTATTCAGGAGTTGTTGGGTTGAGTTACCCTTCATACTGTGTACTGCCCACTTTGTAAATTAATACTTACTATTTATTGTGAATAAAGAGATTACCACGCATCAGCTCGAGTACAGTCTGCAATTAGTGTGCTACCATATTTAGTCAGGTCACGTGTCTCCAATATTGGAGCCTCGTGAGGGAGTGACGTCATACAGCGGCCAGGGGGTTTGTGTTGATATAAAGTGACAAAGTGGTCGACTACATACATAATTCAAAATCTACATTCTGGGTGTTTTTTGTTATTTCCCACAAACCACCATTTTAAATATGATCCCCGCTATTTATATATTTGATTTGTTGCCATGGACACACTTTAAGTATTGTCACATTTTCACCCATGGAAAATTTTGAGAGACATAATTATTGGTAAATTCTAAAAAAAATCAAATGAAATAATAATACTATTTGTTGTTGAGTGGTTTATCGGAAATAACATCAATTCGCGCAGAATATTTATTAATGATTCCACGACATGACATATCATCATTTATTTGTACATTTTGCACCTCAAAACTCATGCTCTATTATTACATGAATTTATATTCATTTCAAAGTCAATGTCATTAAGGACAGTTCATTTGCAGGTAATTCATTCAACCCTATATAAACGCATCACAGGCAAATTGGTCTGTACATCAACGACTCCGGTCTTTAAAAAAAATGTTTACAAAGTCTGTACTATTCAAGTGATCAGCACGGGAAGTACTCATGGCAGTGTTTCCCACGAACATCTTGAGTAATACTGAATGTTCGCCGATAGCAAGTATTGGCACCGAATATTACGCATTCACGTAATTTTACGAATTGAAGTGAAAAAAAGAGAGAGAAGAATATTGTGAAGCCTCAAGTTTCCTTCCTGAAATATCACCTTGAGTACCATGCCCCGCCCGCCAAAAAAAGCAAGCCAATTTGCTAACCGGGTCGACATTTGTGAGGTTAATGAGGTGCTACCAGAGTGAGTCCGTTTGCCTTGTATTCCAACTATGTTCTATGCATGGTTACAGAATTTCCCCATTAATCGAAAAATTACTTCTCCGCACCTTGGGGCAACATTATGCTATCAACCATGGCAAATTGGAAGTTTTCTCTTTATTGTTGTTTATCTGGGGTGAAACTGCGACAGACAAGTGATCCCTTCAACAGAAAGATTATGCTTCGTCAAATGCATGCCATTATTTGAGGTCTGAAACACAATGCCGTCCGTAAAACGTTACGTACATTCTGTGGCAATTTTTAACTTTAGAAGTATTCACTGACGGCGTTGTTTCATTCAAGTCGAAGCCCCGGGCACTCCCATGTTCCGTGTGATTCGGCATATGTGGCTCCAAAGATGAAATCATGTTCGACTGTTT